CTGATAGGCGGTTTCAAAATGGCCGCTGGAAAAACAAAATGGGCGCCCGCTGTGTTGCCTCTCTTTGAGTGGGTAAAGGCAGTGACCTAATGGGTCAACTAAACTAAACATCCCCAACAAACTCACAAAAGCAAGTAGGGTAGCTCACTATCATCTAAGTTCAGTCCGTCAGCCGCCAACAGCTGTGTAAAGTCCACTTTGTGCTTCCCCCCCCATCCTTCCATCAAAAGAGAATTCTGTTACCTTCTCTGTAAAAATCTGTGTGTCTTGGCCGATCTCTGTCCCTCTTCCTCTCCTCTAGAAAATATGCCAAATAACTTTTCTGCCTTCAGATTTTTGACATCTACATGGTCACGGCTGACTACACGCCGATGGGCGCTGACCGTGAAACCCTCACTTTGAAGGAAGGGCAATACGTGGAGGTCCTGGACTCTGCTCATCCTCTAAAATGGCTGGTTAGGACCAAACCCACCAAATCCAGCCCATCTAGGCAAGGTTGGGTCCCTCCGGCCTATCTGGATAAAAGGTTAAAGGTGAGACTCATCCATGTTTTGGGGGGGTCGTACAAAGTGTTCCCTCTTGAAGACTGTTTAGTTGCTTTATATTACTTCTCTGGAGACCAAACTAAGTGGCACATTTAGCATGTATTTAGAAGAGGTGCTCCTTCAAGTAACAAAAAGCATCTGTTTATTATAACACGTTTATTGGTTATGATTTTTGGTAAGATTTCCTTTAATTAGACATCTTTCTTTTAGCCTAATTTGGTTTGTGATTGGTTGGAAGATAAGCAGAGGGTTTGATCCCTGAAAGAAGTCTTCTTATAATCTAGGATGATTTCCCAGTCTGGAAGGGAAAATGTGTTAACTGAAAGAAACATGCATTTCTTTTTAACACCAAGTTTGTTTCTATATTTGCACAACAAATTGCAGTTTACTGATACTGTGTGAATATCTTAATTTAAATCTGAAAGAGAATCTATAGTGCTGAAAGAGGATTCACTATATTGTGTCATGCCAAAGTTTCCTTGATTAAAGAATGTGTCCTATTTATTTTTTTACCTTTTCATGACAGCGTATAGTCATTGTTTCCAAGAATCATAATGCACTTGATCTATTCTTTTATCTTAATTTTCAGCCCCACAACCATTTCCAATAAAAATTCATATTTTTCACGCTGTGCTATTTCATACATTGAATGCCCCCAGCCGGAAGACTGCATTCAGAGCCAAAGTCCATAAAAGCTTTAGGACAGCATAGACCTTTATAGCTTCTGTTACCTAAGGTCTTATTTCTTTTATTTCAGCTCTCGCCGGAGTGGGGTGTTCCAGACGTTCCAGAGTTCTTAGGAGAGTCTCTCTCAGAAGATGAATATAAAAAGAAGCTGAGGTGAGTTTCATGGAAAAGCAGTCCGTGTTGATTTTCCCCTTTTGGGACATGCAGGATGGCGACTCCAGTCCTATTGTAAAGGTACAGGTAAAGGTTCCCCTTGACAATTTTTGTCCAGTCGTGTTCGACTCTAGGGGGCGGTGCTCATCCCCGTTTCCAAGCCATAGAGCCAGCGTTTTGTCCGAAGACAATCTTCCGTGGTCACATGGCCAGTGCGACTTAGACACGGAACGTTGTTACCTTCCTACCGAGGTGGTCCCTATTAATCTACTTGCATTTGCATGCTTTCGAACTGCTAGGTTGGTGAGGAGCTGGGACAAAGTGATGGGCGCTTACCCCGTTGTGTGGATTCGATCTTACGACTGCTTGGTCTTCTGACCCTGCAGCACACAAAGGCTTCTGTGGTTTAGCCCGCAGCGCCACCACATCCCTTTGTACCACCAGTCCTATTGTACCGTGTTATAAATATTGTAACTTTCAGATACAAATTGCAAAATTTCCATAGACATGATCAGTAGCGTCCTGAGTTGCACCACTCAATACTCAACAGATACTGCCTATGGAGATGTCTTAACTTACAGCAGTTTGCTTCTAAAAAGTTGCATCAGTGACATAACTGCTCAAGAGGATTTGGGCAGTAGTAATATTCATGTTGTTTGAAAAGTGGCCACTTTTTTCTCCAAGTCAAAGCAGCTGTGTGGCCCCTGTCTGGAATGGTCTACCTTGGTTCCCCATGGCTGATTCTTTCCAAAACTACACCCTGTCCCATGCTGGTAAAGGTAAAGGCAAAGTTTCCCCTTGACCTTGAGTCCAGTCGTGTCTGACTCTAGGGCATGGTTCTCTTCTCCATCTCCAAGTCATAAAGACAGCATTTGTCACTGTTTCCATGGTCATGTGGCCAATGCGACTAGACACGGAACGCCGTGACCTTCCCACTGAAGTGATACCTATATAATCTACTCGCAATTTTAAATGCTTTCAAACGGCTAGGTTGGCAGGAGCTGGGACAAACGACGTGAGCTCCCTCCGTCGCGTGGATTCGATCTTACGCCAGCTGGTCTTCCGACCTTGCAGCCCAGAGGCTTCTGGTGTTTAACCTGCAGCGCCACCACATCCCCGACTACATCACTAAAGCTGCCCATAAATGTACATAAGCATCTCCGGTACCAATGACTTGGACTTGGGACCCAGATCCAAAAGCTTGCCAACGTCCCTGATGGCCACCCAACATAAAGCAGATCTTTCCACATGCCCCAAAGCTGGACTCCTGCAGGGCTTGCTGGCCAGGTCCAGTTTTCATCATAGAATCATAGGACTGGAAGGGACCCTCTAAGGTCATCCAGTCCAACCCGCCCTGCTCTAGGCAGGAATCCAAGTCAAAGCATATCTGACCGACGGTGGTCCCATTTTCTCTTGAAGGTCTCTAACATTGGGGAATAATAAATATACCATCCACTTAAAAGCTCAAATCTGTTTCAAAAAATCTGGTTTGGCCTGATGTGGATCATTCAGGTGTTTGCCTTCTGTACATGAGGCAAAGAAACCTGAAATAAAGTCTTATACGGTGAGATGCCTGCAACTAGATCCAGCTGGAGGCGCCTTACGGGTGTAGCACATGGGGAGTTTCTTTTTTCCCTTGCAAGTAAAGGTGCACAGGATCTGGCTCACCGTGTATTGCTAAGGGAAGTTTAAACTTTTCACAAAACACCCCCAGATTCATTCCCCCTCCTGTGTGTGGAGCTAAAAAAGAAGGACACCGACACGGTTCGTGTATGCCATGGAATTTAATGGTGAAAGTTGGAAACAGGTCACACTATTCAAGATCGCATGTGGGAGATCTGAGTCTGAACGTTTTTCCATACGGCTCTCATTTCGTGTGGACTGGCAGGGCTATCTTCTGTGTCTCTTGTCTGTCTATGGAAAATATTCAAGCCTACGTCCCTCCCTGTAGCCTGAAGTTGTACAGTCTCATTTTAATCTCATCTTCCCTCTGCTGTCTCCTTTTGCTGCAACGATACATCTTGGACCTAGGGTGTTGTTGTTGAGTCGTTCAGTCGTGTCCAACTCTTTGTGACCCCACAGACCAGAGCACGCCAGGCCCTCCTGTCTTCCACTGCCTCCCGGAGTTGGGTCAAATTCATGTTGGTCGCTTCGGTGACCCTGTCCAACCATCTCGTCCTCTGTCGTCCCCTTCTCCTCTTGCCTTCACCCTTTCCCAACATCAGGGTCTTTTTCAGGGAGACCTAGGTAATCTTTTTCAAAGAAATGTTTGTAAGTGCTTAAACCAAGAAGCATCCTTTGGTATCTGTCTGGCACCACCATTACTTCGAGGTTCCCTAAACGAGACTGGAGTTTCTTTTCTAAGGTGTGATCATCAAAGAGCAGAATGCATTTCTCTCGAGCAGAGAGGGCAGTGCCTGATTCCCACCGCCTTTATCTCCCACTTTCCCCCCCTTTCTCTCCAGCCTTATTATTCAGGACCTGCTGAACTCTGAGGAAGACTTCGTCAAGGACCTGCAGTTCCTCCAGACACACCACATCCAGTACACGGAAACCTGTCCCAATGTCCCTCCTGCCGTTTCTGGTCAGAAGCTCGTGATCTTCAGAAACGTCACGGATATAACACACTTCCATTCCAAGTAGGTGCATCTATATCGGAGGTAGCCAAATAACAGAGGAAGGAAGGGCGATGTTGCAGATTGGGTGCAAATATGTGAAATGGGAGCCGTTGGGAAGAGGAGGGAGATGCGGAGGGGTGGAGAAAAGATTGCACAGAATCTCCTCTGCATCATTTGTCACTTCTCCAAGCAAGGGAGGGAAAAAGGGTTGGCTTTTTATTACATCATTTCAGCTTTTTGAGTAGATTGGTTTTCAGCTCTTGGGCATCTTCTTTTGAAAGCAGCAAATGAATATTAGCAAATATTACTAATAATGTTAGTCAAGTCGGACCAGTATTTTTGTCATTCTGTTCTCTTCCTGCTGAGATTGCTGTAAAAGCGATCACGTTGATGCCTGCTAAACGGTTGCGGTCCCTGCCTGCAAAAATCTTGGGATTGGTCCTTCGATGAGATTACTTGGAATTCCTTGCTAGAGGCTCTTGTGCCTTTCCGGAAGTGCAATAGGGAACCCTAAGGGCTTCATTCCACTCTGGATCCAAGACTTAGGATTAGAGATGGGGGTATTTGTATTTGTATACAAAAACCCCTACACAGCTGGACGTAACTCTGGTCACCCTGGCACCGAGACTCGGCTTCCCTCCTTCTGCCAGGAGTGGATAGTCAACTGCGAGTTCTGGAGTGATTGGAAGGGATAATGGAACCGCCGGCAGCAGCGGACGCATGAGTGGATGGTCTGACCCTGGGGAGCCGGACCCTCGTTACGTCCAGTTGTAGGGTGGGGGTATTCATATTCATATACAAATTATATACGAATCTCTAATTGGGATCATGAGATTAAATCCGTGCCGAGCTGCTGTAACAAGGCACTTTGCTCCTGGCTACCTTAACCTCTTCTCATCATCTTCAATTTCCTTGACACCCGCAGAACGTTCTTCCCGGAGCTTCAGAAGTGTGACACTGATGATGACGTGGCGATGTGTTTCATTAAGAACGAGGGGGAGTTTGACAAATACATCCAGTACTTGGTTGGCCGTATACAAGCTGAGTCCGTTGTGGTCAGTAAAGCTGTTCAAGAGTTCTATAAGGTAAATTAACTGTCTCTTTGATTCATTGATTGATTCATTGATTCATTACTACCATACATGCATACACACTGTACAAATTTGAGTTTGAAATCTTTGTTGTTTGTTTGTTCATTTGTTTGTTTGTCTGTTTGATTCATTGATTGATTCATTTATTCATTTTTAAACCACCCATCTGAGCAACAGTCACGCTCAACGTTTCACAGACAATCACAATAACGAAAACAAGAGTGGCTTAATCAAGTGCATTCAATTGATCACGCTCAACATTTCACAATCACAATAACGAAACCAAGAGTGGCTTAATCAAGTGCATTCAATTAAATCCGCAAACAAACCTAATGATAGTAAACATTTAAAACTGAACTTGATTTTTCACCTCTGGGAGTGCTTATTTTTACTCATAGATTATAGCAAAGGAATATTTTTTTTGGTCTTGAATTTCCAAGGTCAGTAAAATTCCCTGCCTTCAGTGTGAGAAAGAGATGCCGTCTCCTCTTTGGTGGAATGTGCACAAAACGTTTTTGTGGCTGTTTGCATTAAAAAAAGAATCTCTTCCCTTTAAGAGGCAAAGTCCAGTCTCGGAGACTTCAGCACCGCAGAACTAGCAGACCGTCTAATGCCGCTGTGATAAGTCAGCAAAGAGAGCCACTTTACGCAGTCTGTGCAGGTTGTGGGATCCGCTTTTGTCAAGGGCACCCACAAAAGGTCTCGCTCTCTCGCTGGGCAGGGAGAAAAGATTTCCAATTCCCCTCCCTTGCTTGTGAGGACGAGGAAATCAAAAGCGACCTGCAGACAACCTTGCAGCAGCCAAGAATTTTCCTTGGGGGCTAGACGTGTCAGCCATTTGTGAAATCCTTGTGGTTGTGTGTTTTGTTTTCTGCCCAGCGATACACAGAGGTAACGTTCTCCACGGAAGACCCATCTCAGCCACCTGTACTTCCTCTGCAATACTATCTGGAGAGACCGATAAACAGAATCCAGAAATATCAAACAGTAATCAAGGTGAGGAGCTTTCTTCTAATACTTGGCATGATGGTTTCGTAACATTATTATTTGGGGAAGGCAACTGACTTTCTTTCTTATCTGGGTTTTATATCAGCCGATTGTCATGTGTCACCACCAGCACAACAGCGGAAATTCTATAGCGCCCTTGTCGGTTTCTTAATACTATTATATATCACGATATTCTGTCAGTCCGCTTTTGGTCTTTGGTTAATAAAGAGAAGAGACTCACCGAATCTTGGAAGGGAGTTGGAAGGGGTCTTGAAGGCCATCAAGTCCAACCCCCTGCTCGAGGCAGGAATCCAAGTCAAAGCAGATCAGACAGACGGTGGTCCATTTTTCTCTTGAAGGCCTCCAGCATTGGAGCACTCACCACCTCCCCCTGAGGTCACAGGTTCCTGTTGTTGTATTAGGGAAACTTGATCAGGAGCTTGGTAATTCCACTTATTAACAAGGGCTGAACCCCTCCTGCAGGTAAACAAAGGTGTCTTTTTTGTCCTGGAGAAAGCCCCAATTGTTCCTCTGCATCTGATGGGAGAGGAGCATGCTTTGCACAATTCACAATTCCTGGTTCATTTTGACTTCATGTCTCAAGTATATTTCATTTTCTGAAATATCTCGTAGTTGAGAGAGATAATCAGTGGACAGGCAGAACTGGTACAAACAACACCTTTCTGGGTATCCACAGGAGCTCATCCGAAACAAGGCAAGGAACAGCCAGAACTGTTCCCTGCTGGAGCAGGCTTATGCCATTGTGTCTGCGCTCAACAGACGGGCAGAGAACAACCTTCACGTGTCTCTGATTGAGGACTATCCAGGCACCCTGGAGATCTTAGGGGAGCCCATTCGACAGGTAAGGGCAGCCCCATCTTCCCAAACATGTCATGTCTACCTCTGTTGTCGAGTGATCGTGTTGCATCGCAGCCTGTCCCTGCTGCTGAAATCAACTGGCGGAGTCTTCTGGATTCGGGCTCAAGTCACATGGATTTGAACACGAATCCAAAAGTTTGGTGTCGGCATGTTGTCGGTACACCAAGGTCAGTCACAGAAATATAGGGCTGTCAACCACCTTCTCCCCAGAAACAGGGGGGAATCTGCTTTGCTGACTCCTTTTTCTTCTTCTTTCCAGGGACAGTTCATTGTATGGGAGGGGGCGCCTGGAGCCAGAATGGCGTGGAAGGGCCACAAGAGACAAGTCTTCCTCTTCAAGAACTACCTCCTCGTGTGCAAGCCCAAGCGGGACACTAAGACGGACACTTACAGCTACATCTTCAAGAACATGATGAAGGTCCGAGCCTTATTTCCTTCCGTGATCCTTAGATTTGCTTCCCCGAGCTGTCTGCTTAAAGCTACCTCTGTTGGCCAAGCTAAGGCTGCTATTGCGTGGTCCTCTAAAGAAGTGATGCCATTTTGGATATCATCCAACACGGAAAGATTCGTAGAGGGTGATCATATTAGCAAAAAAAGGGGGGGAGGGGAATGCTACAGGTTTCGGGCAGGCTTTCAACCTTCCTTCTGCTTTTTAGTCTCTCTGCCCAAATCAGCTGAGGTCACCTCAAGGAATGTTCCTGGAAATCTCCAAGACGGTTAATGAAGAAGGTCCACCTTCTCCTTCTTTTTAAGAATACTTCTCTGAGACTACATGGCCACTGTTGATGACAACGGGTCTGTGTTGGTGGAAGGGCCCCTGCAATTGCACTCAGAATGTTTCCTGGTTTTATTTAGCTTTATAGTGCGTTTCTCTTGTGGCAGAGCAGCAGACCCTTTAAGCGGGCCCGCTCTTAGATGTATGGAATATATATATATATGCTCATATTCACTCCAAGTGACCAGCTGGGGTGGGTACCTTGACTTGGTCTTTGACTGCAGGAGGCTGCAGTTTCTAGAAGCTGAAAGACATGTGAAGATATTTCAGACAAAAACAAAATGGAAAAAAAAATGCAATGGGGACAAAATCATTGTCATGACATGAAATTATAGCAGCTAATCTTTAAGACGTCGCCGTGTTTTTCTCCGGGAGCTTTTGGTCGTTGTTTGATACGCGCACGTGTGCAGACTTTACATGGCTAAGTCATCAATGATGTTTCATTTGACTTTGAACCCTTCTTTTTTGATGACTTAGCTACCCAACATAGATGTGAACGACCTGGTGGAAGGAGACGACCGGGCGTTTGAAATTTGGCACGAGCGGGAAGACTCGGTCCGTAAATACCTGTTTCAAGCCAGAACCGTCATCATCAAGAATTCTTGGGTGAAGGAAATCTGTGGCATCCAGCAACGGATTAGCCTTCCTGTGTGGGGTAAGCAAGGCTAGTTGACGAAAAGAACCAAATATCTTGCGCTTGGGCCTTCTGCTCATTGTTCTGTTTTCCAGCTTTTCCTTACCCAGCTTCTCAGCAAAACAGAGAAGCACTGACCTCTGTCTGTTTCTTTTCAGACCCTCCAGACTTTGAGGAGGAACTGGCAAACTGTACAGCTGAGCTTGGAGAGACGGTCAAACTCGCCTGCAAAGTAACAGGGACACCCAAGCCAAGCGTCGCCTGGTTTAAAGGTCTGTCAGACGCTTGTGAATTATTCGTGCCGTTACTATTATGGATGTCGAATATGTATAGGTTTTCTTAACCTCAGTGAAAGTTTGTCTCCACATAATCCTGTTTAAAAATAGTCAGAAATTGTGAGGTTTTTTCCCCTTTATTACTGCACAAGAGGAATTTTTCTTCAGTCGGAGCATTAGCAAAAGAAAACTTTTGCATAAAAACATTGCCTTTTCCACAATATGTATTGATGTGCAAAATACATTTTTGTGCAAAAACACTTGCATTGATTTTTTTAAAAACAGAAAAAGTTGTGACATGTAACCAAATACAGACATGCCTCATAATCTGTAGGGAAAAAATGTTTGAAAGCTTTTGTTCTTACTTATGAAAAAGAAATAAGCGAGGGTCTGAAAGTTTTTGCTCTCGCCCGTCATAAGGAGGGGGTAAACAGTTCCATCAATGAAGATAGAAGCTAAGTTCTCTCCTCACTCAATCATATTTTCCATATTTACTTGTAAGAAGATTTCCCGGCACCATTGAGGGCTGCAGAGGAAGGACAGAGGGTTAGAGAAATTGGTTGCAGTAATGAAGTTTTGTTAGCACCGTGTTGAATTTAAACCGCAGTCTTCCGTGAAACTGGCCAAAAATCAGTTTATAGGCTGTAATCAGTTTTCAATTGACTAGATGGGTGGGTACAAATGCAATAAATGAACGAATAAATAAATGGAATCATTCACCAGCAAGTATTCAGCTGGTTGGCAAATTGCTTTCTTTCTGTGAACACAACATAGCGATTGCAGAATGGTATTTTCTCGGTTTCATTTTGAAGATGGGAAGCCCGTGGAGGTGGATCCCCATCACATAATCATTGAAGATCCAGATGGCTCCTGCACCTTAATCCTTGACAACCTCACAGGTGTTGATTCGGGGCAATACATGTGCTATGCCGTTAGCCCAGCTGGCAACGCCAGTACCCTAGGAAAGATTCTTGTTCAAGGTAAGTTTACCATCATATAATAAATAAATAAATATGTGCTCCTGCATTGTTAAAATACCGTGTTTTTCCGTGTATAAGATGCCCCCATGGATAAGACTCCCCCCACTTTTCTAACCCAAATTTACGAAATCTAAGCGGGACTTAGCAAATATAGGGTGAAAGGGATCAAAGTGCTGCAGGATCACTTTGATCCCTGCTTTCCCCTCCACTTGTTTTTTCTCTCCTCAGCTTACTTCCATGTATAAGATGACCCTCGATTTTTAGTCTAAAGATTTTAGAGAAAAGTATAGTCTTATACATGGAAAAATATGGTACTTGCTTAACAGTCCAGTAGCATTTGATACTACTGGACTGGGACTTTCAGATAGCTCTTTTACCACCCTATGAAGTGAATATAGTAGGAACCTTGTGTCCGTGGGGGATCCTTTCCAAGCTCCCCACAGATACTGAAAAATGCATATCAAAGTGAACACTAGTTTAATAGCAAATGCTATATGTACCATGGTCTCTGGCTCTCTCTAGTGGCCAGTTCTTGTAACTTAATTGTTAGAAATCTATGTATTTCTGGGATTTTTCTTTTAATATAGTTCTTATAACTTAATTGTTAGAAATCTATATTTCTGGGGTTTTTCTTTTAATATTTCCAGGCCGTGGATAAGTGAATCAGTGGATACTGATCCTGTGGATATGGGGGCCCCTCTTGTAATGGCAAAATTGTGTCAGACAGCTTGGTGACACAGAATGGCTTAACCTGGCTTCCAGCTCTTTAGCCCCACTCGCTGAGACTACAGTAGCCCAAAAATGCATTTCTTTGTATTATTCGCGCACAATAAGTGAAGGGGATCTGGGTCCAGAGATATTTTTATACATGCTAAAGGAACAAGCCGTCCTGCATCGCTTCAAGGACGAACCCATTAGAATGGCTTAACCTTGCTTCCTTGCCTCTACTCGCTGAGACTTCAGTAGCCAAAAATGCATTTCTTTGTATAATTCGCGCACAATAAGTGAAGGGGATCTGAGTCCAGAGATATTTTTATAAATGCTAAAGGAACAAGCAGTCCTGCATCGCTTCAAGGACGAACCCATTCTATGGAGCGTCTGTTTCTCTTTCAGAAGCAGCTCCTTGTTGATTTGGTGCAACAGACTTTACGCTACTGGTCTCACACCTCCTCCCTCCCAGGCTGAGTGCTGGTGGCAAATGGGGAAAAGCGGTGGGACACAACCCTTACTCTGGCATGTTGCCTCTCAATTCCCGACACTCCCAGTTAGCTGGGTATAGAATTAGGGAGGGCACCTAGCTGGGAAAAACAGAGCTGTGGGTTTTCGAGAAGCCTCTTGCTGGACTCTGTTGAAAAGAGGGCACTATACAGGCATACCTCGGCTAACGAATTTAATGCGTTCTCTGGGACGTTTCGTATTGCGAAAAATTCACAAACCAAAACGCAGTTTCCCATAGGAACGCATGCACGGGGGCAGTGCTGTAAACTTCCCAAGCACAGTGCATCCTAAGGGAGCTTGCTTCATGTTGCGAAAAAAATATATATCGTAAACTGAGGGAGGCATTATTTTCAATGGCTTTTCTTTCGTCAACCGAAAACTACGTTAACCAAGGCGTTCGTAAACTGAGGTATGCCTGTATGAGACGAAGCCTTGACACAATTGACCAGAATGTTTTGGCATACTTCACTCGTCCTTTCTACGTTCCATGTAAAGCATTATCTACAAAGTACGTCCCATCCCGCTCCATCCAGCGAAGTTTAGGGTGGTCCTCCGTTTGTTTTAGCGAATTCTTATGGTCAACCCCATGTAGTTGGCTTGAGGTTCACTCAGCCTTCCATCCTTCTGAGGTTGGTAAATGGAGGGAGGCAGCTTGCAGGAGAGGTGATGTGTAGCCGGCGTTATTAAATTCTAAACTGTCCAGAGAGGGTGCGGAGGGAGGCAACTTGCTGGAGGAGCAACGTGTAGCCTGCGTAATTCTAAACTGTCCAGAGAGGGTGCTTTAAGCGCTACGGGGTGGCCTATAAGCAGCAAGCTTTGCTTTTTAGCTTTTGCTTCTTCTTCAGCCGCACATGATAAGTGCAAGATCTCCCTTGATGACCAGATATTCCGATACCACTAGATATTTACTTGCTTGCTATCCGTTGGGTCGTGTCCAATACCGTTGCCTTTACTTTTGCTTTCTAGTGCCGCCCCGTTTTGTAAACAAGCTGAAACCTGCGTATTACGCCGAGGGCGAAGACGCACAATTTACGTGCACTATTGAAGGAGCACCTTCTCCTCAGATCAGGTAAGAAGCCATCCAGCACGACTCTTCCCAACACCCAAGGCTGTTCGATCACTTTGCTGGAAAAGAGAAGAAGGGAACCTTGGGGTTTACTGCCCTCAAATGTTGATGCTTTGTGCAGCATAAGAATTGGGGGGGGGGGGGGGTTGATNATGATCGGAGGCCAGGCTTTCTTGCCCAGAAATGACATCTATGTCATTCCCTGGCCCTCTCAAAGCAGCTCTTCTCTTTAAAACCAGTTGCTGGGTCCCGTTGACCCCCTTGGCCAAAATCCTGTCGCTCCTTTACATAAAAGGCATAACCTTCAGAGGTGAGTTGCTGTTAAGGAATCTCCTTAGACATTATCTTGTCACACAGTAAGTTACGCAGCTTGACATGCAACACTTCATGCCTACGGAGATTTCTTAACTCACAGCAGTTCACTTTGAAGGGTTACGTTTTTTGCCTACCTGCACAACAGGATTCCAGCCATTGTATTCTGCTTGATTTATATTACAGCTGCTAGCATTGTTACCCAGATCCAGCTTTCAGTATCACTAGCAGGTAAAGTACTTTGTGGTACTATGGACCGATGGGCTGTCTTCTTTTGGCCATGGTTTGCTCGGAACGTGGTAGGATTGTTCTAATCCAATAAGATAGAGAAATGAACCAGCAGCAAACGGGTTTGCTTATAGCATTTTATACATGGGTTTGTAGCTGGAAAGGCCTTTCAAAGTAATATTTTTTTGGTAAAAAAATCAAAAGAGAAAAAGAACAAGATAGTTCTCACTCTAGGCCTACCATCTAAAAGATGCGTCACTAAAGGAAAGTGGGATGGGGACGGAAAAGGAAAACAGTAGAATTTCGACACCATTTTAAAAAAAATGTAGGGCCTTTCAAAGTAATATTTTTTTGTAAAAAAAAAAATCAAGAAAGAAAAAGAACAAGATAGTTCTCATCCTAGGCCTACCATATAAAAGATGCATCACTAAAGGAAAGTGGGATGGGGACGGAAAAGGAAAACAGGAGAATTTCGACACCATTTTAAAAAAATGTAGTAAGGATTTGATGGTTGTTGTGGGTTTCTCGGGCTCTTAGGCCGTGTTCTGAAGGTTGTTCTTCCTAATGTTTTGCCAGTCTCTGTGGCTGGCATCTTCAGAGGACAGGAGTCAGAACTCTGTCTGTGCTCTGGTGCAGTTTGTTGGATAGTTGAGTATTTATAGCTGTGGGATCAATTTTTTGTCCTTTTCAGAAGACTGGGTGATAGTAAGGATTTATTTGCTGAAATAGCCACAAAATGACAACCTGAGAAAGACAAAGCTAGTTTTTTTGCATGGCGTAACCATGGGGGATAAAAAGTCCATGGAGTCCTGTTTTGGGGGTGTCACGAACCCATTCAGATGTCACAAATCTAACACCCTAGACAGCAGGAAGGATTTCTTTATTTGCTGAAATACCTACAAAATGACAACCGGAGAAAGACAAAGCTAGTTTTTTTCGCATGGCGTAACCATGGGGAATAAAAAGTCCATGGAGTCCTGTTTTGGGGGTATCACGAACCCATTCAGATGTCACAAATCTAACACCCTAGACAGCAGGTCTGGTGCTCTTTGCGTTGTCATTCCTTCCTGCAGTGAGAGTGATCAATATATATTTTTATATTGTTTTGTTTTATTTTGTAAGCCGCCCCGAGTAGACATGGTCTAGAGGGGCGGGGTAAAAATAAATCTAGACAGCCGGTCTGGTGCCCTTTGCGTTGTCATTCTTTCCTGCAGTGGGAGTGATCAAGCAGAAGGGCACCAGCATCTGATAAACCAGATTTCTGCAGAGAACGCAGTCACAGAATCACGAACATGGTCTAATGTCGCTGTCCTGATCATAAGCTTTCCGTAGTAGCTTAATTTAACCTTTTTGGGGTTGGGTTTCATGCTCTTGAAGGGGAACTCTCATCGAAGCATTAAAAATGTGAAGAGGGCTGGTCTGTCGCATTAAGTCCCGGCTGCTGCCTTCACGGCTGCATAAGTCTTGCCACCAAAGTGGTTGCTTCTAATATAGAGAAACAAGGCAAGACCTCTGGTTAACATGATGGAACCTGGACTACTCTAAAGCTTGTTGGAAATGTGTTGAAGGAATTGGCACCTATTATCACATGTGGTGGGACTGTAAATTGGTTAAGAAATTTTGGAAACCGATTTTTAAGGAATATACGTGATAAATTTGGTAAAGATATGGAATCTAACTCTAAAATTGCTTTGTTGTTGGATTTTTAAGGAAATACGTGATAAATTTGGTAAATATGTGGAATCTAACTCTAAAATTGCTTTGTTGTCAATTTTTGATAGGATAGATCTTGGTTATTCTTTGAAGGAATTGATTTCTAACTTTACGACGAGTGCCAGAATATTAATAGCTAGGTTTTGGAAAGACAAAAATGATATGAAATTTAAAAGAGTGGTATGGTGAAGTATGGGACATTGCATTAAATGATACATTGATTATTGAGCTCAAGATGGAAAGAGGGGAAATAAGTCCTGATATTTTTTTATGTTGGATTTATATTAAGTGAAAGGAAAGGGGAAACCCTCTAAACAACACTCTATACAATTTTGGAAAGGAGGTTTGTAATAAAAATACTGTTCAGCGGGTCCCGTGGGTAGGGGGTGCACAGTAGAATTTAGTGTATAGTAAGCAATATTATTTGTATTTGTTTTCTGTTTTTAAAATAATAAATACAGTATATAAACTGAAAAAAAGGAATCTGGAGTGGGTCTCTAGGGTGGAACTTCTCCCAGCCCCTCTCCATGCCCTAGGCTTTCACTGACGGCGTCTTGCTTGTGTTTTCTTTTCACTGAATCTGTCTTTGTACAACAGGTGGTATAAAGACGGAAATCTACTGACTGACCCCAATAAACACCAGAGCTTTAGTGAACCACGGAGTGGTGTTATAGTACTTGTGATAAAAAATGCCTGTAAGGATGACACGGGATACTATGAATGTGAGGTGAGACACCCTCGGGTTCAGAATATGTGCCCCATTGTTTGGGGAGAGGGGCAAGAATTTCTTTCAGATGGCCCCAATGAAACGGGTATGGGGTGCCACCCTGTAGATGCAGACTTAGCAGGAAGGCCCATTAAATCTGGAGAACTCTATGATAGAATTGCAGCCATTTCCATCCCCAGGAAAATAGGATTTCCCAGTAGGTGTGGGATATGCTTTTAGCTTCTGAAAAACAATCACACAGGAGAAGGTCTGGTAGCAGATTTCTTATGATCTCATTTAGGGTGACACTTGAGTGTAATCAAATGTGTAAAGCTAGGAGACTACACAGGGCTCTTCTACTTAGTAACTGCACACCCAGTAGGTTCAATCCAGAAAGACTCGATGATTTTGCCTAGAAGACCCACTTTCTCAGCCTTGGTTTAATTTGGCATTGGGCTGTGGAGAGACACACCAGAACAGGCTGATTCAAAGATATTTGTGGGATTCTGGGGTGACTTCCTGGGAGTCAGTGGTTCCCCCAGGGAGCAGAGCAACACCCCTCCAAGATCCCTTACCTTCCATCTGGCATTTGAGAGACTGAAAAGTTCAGTTCAAGATGCCCAATGATAGGAACTGAGGAAGGAGAAGTTGAAAAGGATGAAGCGTGGCAGCCCGAACCCCTCAGTAAAGCCAAAGATTTCCAGCAGATGTGCAAACCGCTGAGATATTAGGAAGAGGTCGGACAGAGATCACCCAGTGGCTCATGTCCCCTTTTGCTGCTGCTCACAGAAACCTGGGAACACAGAAATACCGCCCTGCACCAGGACCCTGACAAGAATCAGAAGGCCATGGGGTAGGGTTCATGGCATAGTTCGATGTGAGCTATTTCCTGGCAATCAGACAGCCAGAGATGGGCACAATTTGTCAGTTCATTTAGTGGCCAGACAAGTGTTTGGAGCTTCAAAACCCTGCCTCCTCTGACAGGTGCCCACTCAGAGGCAGCACACTGAGGAGGCAGGGCAGAGAAGCCAGGGCACTGCCTCCGAGTGGGCCCCCACCAGCGAAGCTAGGGCTTGGCTGCTGAACAAACTATAGGTGACACATTGCAAACCAGCCCAACCCTACTCTGTGCTCTTGCTCTGTCTCGGTGCTGTCCTGCATCCTAATTGGTTAAGAACGACTGGGAACAGGGGTGCTGGGCTTTCGATAAGAGAGGGTTCCCTCCCATAGCATCACCCCAGGGAACCTTTAAAAGGGCAGCCATTTGATCATTTGGGGGGAAAGCACCTCAACTGGGGGAAGCATTCTTCTTTAGCCAGATGTCGCTGTGTATTCTAACCGACATGGCATATTCTCTTTAGCTGGTCAACAGATTAGGGGCAGCGAAGAGCGGTGCTCAGCTTTACCCCCAGAGTGCTGCAGCCTTGGCCCCCGAGAAGAGACCAGAGCAAGCCATCACCATTGAAGGTACAATATTTTTTTTCCCTTCCGTAATCAGGTATCAAAGTCTTCCATGAAATGCCTGTTGCCTCCTTAATGGTTTCATAGATCTGATTAATCTTTTTGGAATAGTTCTCCTCCTGTCATGTTGTAGCACAACAGCAAAGAGGCCTGTGGCGCCTTAATGACTTGTGAGAGGATTGATCGCAGGAGAAGGTTGTGTGAGTGACAGTGTGGGTCATCAGGTCCACGTAGCATCATCATACAGCTTCGGGTGCATCGCTAGATGCCCCGTGCTCCTAAATCTCCTGTGGGTGGAAGAGGGAAGGATTTCAAACTGTGGGTGGGTTCTCTATAGAATGTGATGCTTTATGTACGGGCATTGTGCAGTTGCTCAAGTGGCACTAAGAAAGTGAAGACAGTTATGGATTGTCTAGGTTCAGGTGGATAATTGGATGGAAAAGGGATTAAAGCACTGATCTCCTGCTTCTCAAGTGGTCCTCATCCATGGGTCCACATGATAAAGATGTGATTTGGTGTGCTTTGGGTGGAGGAGAGGCTATGGAGGACAGAGTCTCAGAAAGCATTGTTCCAAGTCAGCCTGGTGTTGCCATGTTGCGTACCCATGGTGGCACTGTTAATGTGAAGATATTTGTTGTCATTTAGTCATTAAGTCGTGTCCGACTCTTTGTGACCCCATGGACCGGAGCACGCCAGGCCCTCCTATCTTCCACGGCCTCCCGGAGTTTGGTCAAATTCGTGTTGGTCACTCCGATGACACTCTCCAACCGCCTCGTCCTCTGTCGTCCCCTTCTCCTCTTGCCCTCACACTTTCCAAACATCAGGGTCTTTTCCAGGGAGTCTTCTCATGAGATGGCCAAAGGATTGGAGCCTCAGCTTCAGGATCTGTCCTTCCAGCGAGCACTCAGGGTTGATTTGTGAAGATATAGGTTTTTCCGTTAAGATTAAGTCATTTGGACCCTTTGGAGTTCGCCATTTGGTAGGGTCACTATCACCACCACACCGACAGAATGCCAAAGTAGGATGGCTAGAAATGTAATGGATGTGATGTGTGTGTCCAGGGCCCTCATGGGTGTGACAGGTAGGGTGGTGTTTTCTGGGAGGTGTCCAGTGGAGTGTAGTTTCCTCAGGAAATCAGTAGCCTTCCCAACAAGGCTTGAGGTAGTGGTCTGAGGACTGAGTCCACAAACCTGGATATCTCCATTGCCATGAATGCTGGAACCACCACCGCCCGACATGGGACATTCAAAGTTGCCTGGTTTGTGTATTTTGGACACCCGACAGAAGCTAGAGGTGTCTATTGATCCGTAGGGCATTCCTTCCTCAAGTTATTTAATTCTGTCTCTTGTTCATGAGAAGGATCTGTCGTTCTCAATGTGTGAAATGTGGGACTGAAGAATTATCTCTCAACCACCTCTATGTGGTCTAACCTGTTCAGGATGACGAGAGCTTCTTCTTGGCCGGCTTCTTTAATGATAATATAAAATATATAAAATATATGGACGAAATGATCTCTTAAATCTATTTTCTGATTATTATCCCAACTTGGGCTCCTCAGCAACAGCAGTCTGTGAAGAAATACAATCTGTATATCGGTAAACAAATTATTGCTTTGTAACTTCAAAGGAAAATCATAGTGAAGAACAGGTAACATGGAGTTTGCTGTCATAAGGATTGCCAAGAGACTTGTTTTATTCCTGGTGATTTTTAAAAAAAACCCAGCCATGTTAAGATTATATTTGTCATTACGCTATTTTACTGTATTTTATTATAATATTAAACTTTCTGTATCCGGTTTCACTCTGATCTTACAATCAGCATCACACTCCCAGCAAGGACACTGTGTATATACACCTGAACTTGTAAAATTATACTCCTGAGAAGTGGCTTGTAATGCACAAAACCTTAATGTTATAATGAACAGAACTGTTAGTCTTAAAAGTGGCATGTATGGTGGTCTTCTTCTTCTTATGGAGACCTTTCCTTGCATTACGCAGAGCATGTTTTAAGATGGGAAGAGTGACAGATTCTGAAAGAGCTCAGAATCCGGGACATGTCGGCTCAAAGACAGATCATCACAGAAGAATTATTTAGGAAAAGTAACAGAAGGGTTGTGGTTGTTGTTGTTGTTGTTACATGCCTTCAAGTCACTTCTGACTTTCGGCAGCCCTCTGTAGGAGTGACCTACAAAATGTCCTATCCCCCAGCTGCCCTGCTCAGGTGTTGTAGACTCAAGCTTGTGGCTTCCTTGAGGCAGTTGGTCCATCTCGTATCTGGCCACCCTCTTTTCCTCCTGCCTTCATCCTTTCCCAGCATTCTTGTCTTTTCCGACGAATCCTGCCTTCTCAGGAGGTGCCCTAAAGGAGGACAGCCTCATTTTCAACATTTGTGCCTCCGATAGGAGTTCAGGCTTGATTTGCTCTCAGACCCACTTGTTGGTCTTTCTGGTGGTCCAGGGGTATTCACAAAGCTCTCCTCTGGCATCACGTTTCAAACCAACCCATTTTTTTTGTCCTGTCAGCTTTCTTTACGGTCCAGCTTTCACACCCATCCAAGAGTGTGGATGATCTTCTCCTTGACCCCCAGAGACACATCCTCACGATCTTTTCTAATCCCTTCCTTGCTGTCTTTCTGAGCCTATCTTCTGATTTCTCAGCTGCAAAACTCCCTTTGAGCTGATGATGGAACCAAGGGATACAAAACCTCTCACTATTTCCATTTCTTGGTCGTCAAAATTAAAGTTGTGCAGTTCTTCTGTAGTCATGATTTTGGGGTCATCTTCTTGTTCAACATCCAGCCCTCTTTCGCTTTCACTAAAAGTCGTGTCAAGGGCTCACAACATTTTATATCCATCCTCTCCCTAATCCTTACAACGAGACTATAAGACAGATCAGGATCATTGCTCCCAGATGGCAAGTGAGGGAATGCAGTCAAGTTAGAGCGGCTTTGCCCGGGACCGACAACTAGATTTGTCAAAGCTGCCGTATGAGTCTTTTCCAGCACAAATGACGAAAACAAATCAAAACGACGACAAAAACACATTAAGTCTTAAGGTTCTTAAAGACTAGCAGGTTTATTTCCGTGTAAACTTTCACCCGCTCCTTTCTCAGGTACCTGGAATACATACGATATTTCAACGCACGTTTGCAGACAGAGTGTGTATGTTTGTGAGATTTAGGGAAATGTTATGATAATTCAAAAACACATCAGAACGCACACTCCGGGATCAATATCACATGACCGCAACATGCAACTGCTCAGGGAGCAAAAGATACGGGAAAAGAGGGGGGACATTTTGCAAGTGTGATCATGGCCAGATGTGGAAGTCTGCCTAGATTATATCTCTGGAATACTAACACAATTTCAGCTCTAATGATGGGTTATCCTCTTTTGACCCATAGCCTTTTCTCTTTCATCTTTAGGTAAAGCTATCAAGGTGGTTATGATGACTTTAAAGTATGGATTACAGTCAGTTCTAGAAAGGCATGCTGGAAAACGTTTTCTGTCCCTCAACTAATGAATTTGGAAGTCCTGCTTAGCAGTTTGTTATTTCATTACCTTGTTCACATGACCGCAACATGCAACTGCTCAGGGAGCAAAAGATACGGGAAAAGAGGGGGGACATTTTGCAAGTGTGATCATGGCCAGATGTGGAAGTCTGCCTAGATTATATCTCTGGAATACTAACACAATTTCAGCTCTAATGATGGGTTATCCGTCATGCCTCTTTTGACCCATAGCCTTTTCTCTTTCATCTTTAGGTAAAGCTATCAAGGTGGTTATGATGACTTTAAAGTATGGGTTACAGTCAGTTCTAGAAAGGCATGCTGGAAAACGTTTTCTGTCCCTCAACTAATGAATTTGGAAGTCCTGCTTAGCAGTTTGTTATTTCATTACCTTGTTACGCCAGAGATCCAATGTGAACTAAAATGCTGGATACATGTACAGTGAAACTAACCTTTTACTTCTGTAGGGGATCAACAGGACATATAATAAAGTCATTTTGGAAACCACCTTTGACGTCACGCAAAGACTTCTGCGAGTTTTTATTTTATTTCATGCACACCTTTTGCCTCTCTTTCCATCCTGAGAATCAGCTGGCTTCACGCGATAACAAAAAAAGAGCTTTTAGCATAGACGTAGACGCCGGCCTTCGTCCATATCGCTCTTAACCCGCTTATTGGAACCTCTTGCTTTGCAAAACTTAACATCGCGCAACCAAAAATGTTGATGGTGGTTCTTTTTTTTTTTAAAGGAAATTGCTTTCTCTTTTTTTGCTAATTTCCAGATCTTCTTTCTGGAAATAAGATGGGACCCATCCTTTTGAGCTTCCCAAGTCTGCGGGGGGAGGGGGTATCTCTTAATTCAATGCCAAGCAAACCCAAGTAGACCCGAATACTTTCTCAGACTGAGGCGTTCTTCCTTGCTCTGATGACAGTAAATCAAATGACGATGGTTAAATCAAAGTGAAATTAAAGTTATGTGTGTGCATTTCAAGCAGCCCCTTGGTTGGGGGGGTCTTGCTATGAGTTTAATGGCCTCACACAACACAAAGAGAAAGGGAAGAGAAATTCGGTTTCCCATCGTTCTGGGAATTCATTTGTAACCTGTGAAAAGCTTGCTTTTGTGTAACTCTTTCTTTCTTTTTTTCAATGTCTACTGGGCTTCCAATCCAACCTTCCTATGTTCTCAGGGACCTGCATATTTTTTTTCCTCAACACACAGCACTCAAAACTGATAGACAAATCTGGGATTTGTGATTTCTTAGAACCGTACGGTCCACGGATTTGCTGAAGAGTCATTTATTCCACCCAGATGCTTTCATATGCTTTGCAGTCACAGGGGAAAAGAGACAATAGAGGGCATTCGTGGCTAGAAGTGCAGCTGGCTTTGTAACCTGTACCTGATGGCAGATGATGATCTTCTGCTTTGGAAGATGCCAGTTAGATTGCTTTTGTTTGGTGTCCGATCCTCGTGGGGAAATGGACTCTGTCTTCATGTTCATTTTGCCAAAATGACAGTTTCGGGGATGGGTCTCTGAGCCAGGCTCACCCCGAAAATCACCCCGACGGGGTTATTTAAAATGAAACGTCATGAAGCAGATAATTCCCCACGGACCTTACTAACTTATTAAATCCTAAAGTACAACGTTTTGCTTCGCTTAATCCCTGCTTTTAGAGACAATGTACACTTTCTACTCTTTAAAAAAAGCAGCCGAGATATAGAAAAGTGGTACATTCTCAGCTTGGTGTGATGGGTTGAAATTTCTCTCCCCTACCCCCCCCCAAAAAGGCAGGGATTATCTTAAAAAATAAAAAAAAATCTGTTTTGACAGATTTTTTTCTCTCAGATCCCCTCAGGACAATAGATTTTATTTATATATATAAATAAAATATATATGTGTATATTGAAAAGGATGTCTCCATTCATGTAACATCTGTTTGCCTTCAGGTCACCTGAAGTGAGGAAATGTATCTGAAGATCTGTTTTCTTTATATTTACCCTCATCATTTTTTTTAAAAAAAGCCACCCCTTTTTCACCTGTTGGATATATTTATTTATTTTATTAGGTTTATACTCCACCCATCTAGACCAATGGTCTATATTTGCCCTCCTTGCCTTCTCCGGCCACCATTTTAAAGCTCACGATATCTTTGTCTATTCTGTTTTCCTCACGGGGAACCGCACCGAAATAGTCTGATGGGGGCTTGTTCTGCGGGCATGAAAGCGAGCAGTCGCCTTGTGGACGTGAAGCCAGTCTGGGGGCTGCTGAATGTCCGAACGGGGGTGGGGGGCCCTTGTGTGCCTCCCCTCCCTCTTCCTTCATGGAAGGAAGGCAGGATGAAAAAAAGTCCCGAATAAATGGCCATCATCAACATTCATGGCCACCCAACCCTGTTGATGGGTTATGCAGCCTTAGGATACGATCCACAAGCCAGTGAAGACACTGCGCTTGCAATTAAATTCACTCACCCAACCTCCATGATGACCTAAGATGATGTTTCTGGAAGAGTCCTCATCATCTTGTTTCCCACCTACCCCCCTCCCATGTCATGCTTTCACCCATAGGTGCAGCTTGATTTCAAAGGCACAATCCACCAGTATGGGTGCTGGGGAGGCAGCATTATTTACGCGCGCCACCAGAAGCCAACGGGCTGGGATCTAGATGATGACAGGCTTGCAATGGTTTAGATCAACTTGCCGCAGAAATGGTGCTGGTCCAAAGGTTCCCCCCCCCCATCGAACTAAGTTCGTTAAAGGGTGTGTGCATTGTCAGCTTAAGTGCTTTGTGGACCCCACGGTCAGGACCTTCCCGTAGAGATATAAGAAATAACACTTGAAAATAACCACAGCGAAGCAATGATGGGATGGTGTATGCCCCCTACCTCCAAATTGTTATTCTTTCCTCCCCTCGATTCGCTTAACAGAGTTAATGTAATTGTTTATTCTTTCCAATCCAGGTTCCTCCCCTTTCGATTCGCTTAACAGAGTTAATGTAATTGTTTTCAGCTTTTGCCGTTCGTTAACCCCATGCTGTTCCTACTGTTTTCTTTATAGTCACTGAGCAAGAAACAAAAGTGCCCAAGAAAACCATCATCATGTAAGTGTTGATATTCTTTTAACATTCGCGTTCTGATGTTGCTGCCTCTGCATGTCCCAATAATAAATCTGTGTTTATTGGCCATGCAAGTGTGTTTTTCTTCCCATCCCATCAGACCTTGTGGTATTTTTGTGTTATGTGAGGAAAGGAACCATAAGGTTGGTGGATGCCTCTCTCCCTTCAAGAGCAACCTCGCTAGTGTTGAGCGTAGGGCCTAATTCTTCCTCCAGTTGCTTTGATGTCAAGTCAACTGGAGTTGAACAGGCCAACACCAACCTTTTTTAGGGACAAGCAGGCTCCATCTTTGAACACCATTGCTTCACCACTGACATGCCTAGGCATACTAACCCGCTTTTAACTTGCATTTCCTCCCCTCCTTCCTCTTTTCTCTCCTTTCTATTAAATCTAGCAAGAAGAATGCCTTAATGGAAGGCCTGAATACAATTTGGAATGTTTTGTCTTTTTTTTTTCTCTCAGAAAGTCCTGTTTTGCTGTTGAAATGACTCTTCTGCACAATTTCACCTGGTGGATAACTCTGCTTGATAAAAGCTGGCCACCCTGATTTCAGAAGGCTATACAGAAATACTAATTCACATTTCGTGGTTATGGGCATCAAACAGAGATCCCATAAACAGCAGCCTCCTGGTCGCGAAAGTTGGCTGCGATGTATTTTAGAATAACTCACAATCACCGATAGGCACATAAAGATTTTGTCATTCATTCAAAAACACCCTGGGACCCTGTTCTTGTTTCTGTAAGTAATGCGCAGACCTGAAAAGGTGTGGAGGCTCACCTTGGTTATGCTGTCAGATGCATGACCAGGTGCAGCTCTAAGTTGTGGCAAATTACACACACTTTGCATGAAGCCCAACCGGTTTCTGGCCATCGTATTAAGAAACAAAACCCAGTCAGATTATGCAGACAGCTGGACTCCTTTCTCTTTGACTCTTAATACACTCTGTGGAGCAGTCCTTTTAACACGGAGCCTCCTCTCTATATACATATAACTTAATTGCAATAACAAAACCACTGTTTTGCTAGCGTTGAATATGGATGAACAGTGTAGATCTTCTGGTTTACAACCTGCAGGAAAAAGAGCAGGCACCAATCCTTTCATCTCCTGGAGTCACATAGTGCCAATTAACCAAAATTAGCACCAGAAATATTGGCTTGGCTGGAAACAAGAGAGGCGGAAGATAAGATGGTAGCCTCCTTGGAATATTTCAATCTGTACTCTATATGTGGTCCCGCAATCCTGAAGCGTTTCCCTTTCAACATTTTATCTCAGATTTCAAATGATGGAAACCACCATGAAAGCTAATTCTGAGTTCGGTATTCAGGGGTTTGCCTTCCCCTTTTTAAATGATATGGGAGTCTCCTGAAAATGTAATATGTACATTTCTCCACTGTGCAACAGTAGAAGATGAAAACAGGACATTTATTCCTGAACACAGGAATAAATGATAGATTTTCACAAAACAAAGGGAAGATAAGACAGCCTTTAACATGGTGAGGGGAAGAACACTGTTTGCTTTACGAATTAAATACAAAAAGAAGTCCCAGAGAAAATGCCAATGTCATCACTCAGCCAGCTTCACAGTGACAGATAATCTCTCCCTCTTATCATAACAATACACCCACAACAAAAAAACAGGCTGATCACCACAATCACCCATCTCCTGAAAAGGACAAAAGCTGATCCCATCGCTGTAAATACTCAACTATCCAAACAAACTGCACCAGAGCACAGACCGAGTTCCGCCTCCTGTCCTCTGAAGATGCCATCCACAGAGTTGGGTGAAACATTAGGAAGAACAACCTTCAGAACATGGCCAAAGAGCCTGAAAAACCCACAACAACTGTACAGAAAAGTCTTTGTGCACATTTGCACTTCACTGATAGGGTGTTGGGAATAAGTGATGGCCCTGTGGAGAGGCAGCCTGATAACAGTTTCCCAATACAGTGGTGCCTCGCAAGACGATTGCCTCACGGGGTGAAAAACCCGCAAGACTATGGTGCTTCGCAAGACAGTTTTTTCTATGGCTGTGTTTCACAAGACTTTTTTTTCTTTTTCTTTTCCCGAGACCTATGCCTCGCAAGATGAATAAATTTCATTTGACTTGCGAGGCTCCCAAATCGCAAGACGATTTTTTTGGAAGACAACGATTTTCGCGGAACGAATTAAAATCGTCTTGCAAGGCACCGCTGTATGTCTTGTTGCACAGAATGGTAGAGTGTTTGCATTTTGAGGAATAAAAACTAAAAATGCACAAAGACGGTTTGTTATATCCTCGTATTAAGGAAATCTTGATAAGCACTTCAGCCAGACATGTGCTTTTGAAAGCAGACCAAACAAGAAAGCACATTGCTATCAATCATTTTTAAAAAATCAGTGGCTGTTCTAGTAAGGCCATAAATAGTTTTCAGGGTCACAATGCAAGGTTGTCCTCTACTTGTCTAATGTAATGAAGGAACACACAACATAAGCTTTGAGGAATGATAGCATTGCTTGGCTCCTAAAAGGGTGGAAAGCCACTGTTAACGCCAGTCAACTGAAACAGGTCATCTGAGGTGAACCCATTCACTGTTGGATAGCTCAGTGGCTTAGGTCTTGCCAGAGTCAACTGAAACAGGTCATCGGAGGTGAACCCATTCACTGTTGGGTAGCTCAGTGGCTTAGGTCTTTGGCTGCAGAGCCAGAGGTTGGGAGTTCAATTCCCCCCACTGGGCCTCCTTGAGAAGGGCTGGACTGGATGATCTCACGGGGTCCCTTCCAGCTCTGCAGTTCAAAGGTTACTAAAGGTTATTTTTGCACATTCAGGAAACCTGAAGGTTTGAGGTGACCCATGGGGTCCCTTTCAGCTTTCCGGTTCAAAGGTTATTAAAAGTTACTTTTGCACATTCAGGAAACCTGAAGGTTTGGAGGGACATTGAATAGGATTCAGGTCAGGTAGCGAAGCTCATTCTGAATCAGAGATGGCATGTTGAGTGTGTCACTGCATGGCCCTTTCACGCTTCGGCACTCACGCACTGCTGAAATGCTCCCTACGCACCTCTTCCTTTGCCAACAGCATGCCATGTGGTGCGCCTACTGAGAGGGTGGCGGTGACGGGGGAGGAGGGGAAGGCAGGGACCGTTTCTCCTCGTACAAACGCAGCTTTCCAACATTTCCCTCATCAGAGAGGAAACAATCACGACCGTTGTGAAAACCCCGAGGACCAAGCGACGGATCTCGCCCGCCCGCCCACCGTCCGGCTACTCTCGTTCTCCGAGATCCGAGTTCTCCACCCCTGAGCCCCTCTATGTGGGCAAGGTGAGGCCGTCTCCTCACAGGCTTGACCCCGAGGTGATGCAAAGGGCCATCCCTACCCTTTTCGTGACCGAGCCGGAGGAAAGGCGCGGCGCGGCCGTCAGAGGTATTCCTCTTGAAATCTCCGAGGAGGAACAGAAATCCAAGTGGGTCGAGGTGGAGGAAATCATTGAATTCAACGTGCAGAAGTCTGCCCAAGTGACAAGGAAACGAGGGTCTTCTCCTGCCCGGTCAGAGAAAGATGAATCAGGGTCTGTTTACCCTCGGCCCGGTGCAAGACCTCGGCGATCCTCTGAAGACGACCCGAACGCAAATAACTCAAATAATAATAAGCTGGTGGAGCAAGCCTCGTCTTCGCTATCGCAAGAGGCTGAAACATCTGGAGCGGAGTCCAAAGGAACACCAATAAGAAACGCAGATGAACGTTATTCTGGAATGCTGGAAGAGGAGAGCGGTCCTCAAGAACCTTCCGAAAAGACTGACCCACCGGCTGCTTCTTCCCCTACAGTTGCCATTGTGGATGAGCCATGCGAGGAAGCTGAGGTGGACACAGATGCCTATTTCAGTTCACCTGAAGATCCAGAGGTTGAAGGTCATGCTGTTGGATGTGAGACCCCATGGCCTGATGAGGATGATTCTGCAGGTCCCATGCGAGAGGACGATCTTCCAGAGCAGAGCGTTCTCGTAGAGGAACCCGAGGATCGAGAGTCGGTTGACCTGAAAAACCGAGATCTCAAAATTCTTACCCGGAACGGGAAGGCGTTGACTTTGGAGGATCTTGAGGATTATGTCCCCGAAAAAGGGGAGACCTACAGGTGTGACAACCCGAATTCTGCAGAAGACAAACCGTGTGAAATAGCTGTGCTTCAGACCGAAATCAACAAACCGATTATTGGGAAGCCGGTTTTGCTCAATGTGGGCAGACCTGGGGTTTCTAAACCGAAGCAACCCTTCTTTGGAGAATTTGAACAACACTATCCGGGAGGGGTCTTTATGTCCGCGTCTAGAGTGGCTGGAATGCAGTCCAGAGGTCCGTCCAACATTTCTTTCCATGTCCGTGAGTCCTGTGCAGCAGCCAAGGCAACATCGGCATCGCCCGGAGCAGCTGCGGGAATTTCGACGGGAGGCCCATTCAAACCGACGCCATCTTTCTGCACCGAAGTCCAGCTGTCGGCAGACAACGGGCAGTCCAGCTTCAAAACGGAAGTTTCCACAAGAACCCACAGCTACGGCACGGTCGGAGAAACTGTTACACTGTGCATCAGAAAGGAGGATTCCTCTGAAGGTTGAGCCGAAACAAGTCCAGTGTCTCTAATAACTATTCCCTCCACCATCAGCAACATCTTTTCCAGGGGGGAGGGAGAAGAGGGGGAGAGAACTCTGATGGGAATCAAAGAAATACCTACAAGGAAACTATAGCAAGGAAAATATTGTGCTATTAAAATTATATGTGGAGATCTTCCAGTCTTAAAGGGAACACTTCAGTAGATATAACATAAATGTTGACTTGCGTTTTTTTAAGAAGGCACCCCATTCCATTGTGAAGCACCGAAGAGCAGGTAGCGTAGGCCTAAAGAGAAGAGTCAATTTTTTTTGCTTAAACCTCTTATTTTTGAGCTGCCAAACTGCTTAGATTATGGAAAGAAGTTTGTGCTCTTACCATGTCTTCTAGCAGTTTAAGGGAAGGCTGAGCATTTTCAACTAAAGATATTTCAAACGGCTGCTCGGTACTCCGGGTGGTTGAGTCGACACTGGGAATAGACACCGTTATGACCATAAACTGCTTCTAAACCATTTAAGTGTGTGTTAGAAATAATTGACTGTGCCTTTCTAAGTGGGGATGGCATATAGATATTTGGAACACTGTTCAGAACGCATAGCTATGATTGTTCATTCATTTGCTGTAGGGTAAAAGGACTGGCCAGCAATTGACTGTGCCTTTCTAAGTGGGGATGGCATATAGATATTTGGAACACTGTTCAGAACGCATAGCTATGACCGTTCATTCATTTATTTGCTGTAGGGTAAAAGGACTGGCCAGCTTTTATGCCAGTGTTGCTTCCACATTGCCTTCAGAGGAGACTGGATTGTAGGTTGGCAGTGTAACTGATAAGCTAATAAGGGCAGCAGCATTATTTTTTAATCCATCTTAATCCAATTTCTATAAGCAGTGCAGTAATTTAAAGTACAAACAGTAAATGAAGTTAAAATGATTATAGGTTGCAGCCTGATCTTTAATGTTTGTACTTCGAATATAATTTGTCTACAATGCTGACGTGGCATCATTTTTTTAATATACTAAGGTGCTGGCAGGACTCTGCCGTTCCACCATTATGCTTGTATATATATTTTTCCTTCACTGCAGAGCATTGCTGTTAATAAATTAATAGAATCGTAAAATAATGGAGTTGGAAGGGGCCTCTAAGGCCATTGAGTCCAACCCCTTGCTCCGTGCAGGAATTCAAATCGAAGCAGATCTGACAGGCGGTTGTCCAATTTTCTCTTGAAGGCCTCCAGCATTGGAGCGCTCACCATCTCTTCCCATTGGTTTCGTTGTCATACTGCTCTAACAGTTGAGAAGTTTTTCCTGATCTTTAACTGAAATCTGACTTCCTGTAGCTTGAGTCTATTATTATGTTTTCTACACTCTGAGATGATCGAGAACCGTTCCTGCCCCTCCTCTGTTGGGCTATACTGTTCTTATAAACAGTTCCTAAAGTAAAAGTAGGCATCACAAACTTCATTGCCTGTTTGATAAATATTTACCGAGCAGAAGAGGCGGCTACAATAGGGAGGGAAGCTTCGGCCCCAAAATATCAGGATGAGTTGCCCCCCAGCCCTCATTAGTCTACTATGAGCTGCTATGTCTGATAAGTGAGAGAGAAATTGCACTGAAATTAGCGTTTGTTAAAGGAAGGGGTAACTCATCAACACAGGCAGTGTTACACTAAAGTGAAACACATCTGATACGATAAAAGGATTTACTCGAAGTGAATTGCTATTCAATAAACAGAGTTTACTAGTCTTGAGAAAGGCTTCTAAATGAGCTATGCTCTTAGGAATGCGTTTAAGTTATTTTTTTTCACAGGCAACTACTCAGGTGGGTGAAGGCTTACCAAGCTAAAGTATTTGCAATGTCCTTATTGCTGCTACTACTATTGTCTTCAGGTGGAACGCCATGCAGAAAGTCTTGGCTTGATAGATCAATTCCTAGGTATTTCAAAACTCTTATTTTCAATTGAAGTGAATTCACATAATTCAAATAAATATGGATAAATAAAATGGGTTTCGACAGCCATTCCCATGAACAAGTCAACTAGGAAGGGCACTGCCATATTCCCGCCCAACGAAATTTGTTCAGTATCTATTAATCGAAGAAGCAGTAATTGAACACGGCCTTTTAATTGATGTAGGTTGCCGTCTACTACACATTTACCTGGGATTAAGTCCCATGGACACCAGCAGGGTTTACCTCAGAGTAGGCGCCCACAGGATTTGACTGTTTTAACTCTAGATGCCGTCTTTCTTATTTAAACTACGTTTGAAAGAAAGAAGGCTATTTCTCCCCGATTTTCTTTTGACAAACATTGATATAATACCTTTTGCTTTTTTTTTCTTGTAACACCTAATTGGTTTACATACTTTACAGGACTACTCATTAGTGGTTATTGCACTATTATAAAGAGGCAGGCATTTCTAAAGACAACTCGATATACCTCTCTGCTGAAGATTATTTGATTATTTAGGCCAGAATAAACAATGACAGTTTCATGGAAATCTAGAGCATCATCCTTAGGCAGGGTTAACTTTCAGCGTTGGCCTTTTATGATCTTACATGCAGAAACTGTGGGAAAGTGTCATGTCGGTAAAAACTATGCAGAAATGCTCATCTTTCAATTTTAAGAATTTGCTAACTAAATATTAGTTTGTTGCAAGTAGTAACTGCATTTCTTTTGATCAGTCAGTCGCCTCCCCCCCCCATGCATCAGTTTACATTTTCTTTTAAGAAAATAATAATAAACAGAAAAGCAGATTTGTGGAATGATGCTTCCTTTGCTGTAATTTAAAAAGAGAGAGAGAAAAAGATTTTTTTTGAAACTATGGAGAGTCCTATTGGTTTATTTTCCTAGAGATTTAAACAAATATGTTTGCTTGTATGTAACTTACAGTTTATAGAAATCTAAGGAGATGCGTCAGGATTTCTTTCCTACAAAAGACAACCTGAAATTGTATTTAACAACCTCAGCACAAAAGAACCAGTTTGACTGCATATTTCCAGTGGAAAGGAAGGTGTGTCAACACTGGAAGTGATGGTCTGAGGTGTTTCCTTAGACAACACTGAAGTCTGATCATGTTGTTAGAGGCTGAGTTTCATATCAATAAATGTCTAACATAGTTCTGGTGGTCCTCCTTTTTTTTAAAATTGTCATGCTTTTCCATGGTTTCCTCACAAGTGGTTTGTGTGTGTGTGTGTGTGTGTGTGTGTTCTAGTCATTTCTGGGCTCTGTGTTCCATGAGACATGTTCTCCTAGCTTGGGACCTTCCCTCAAACTCTTTTGCAAGTGGCTTTACAGCTGGGTAGAAGGTGGTAAAAAGAGGCAGTCTGGTGTAGTGGATAGAGTTCCAATCCCTCAGCAGCCATAGAAACTCATTGGATAAAAAAAGGTGACATTGGTTAAAAAAATAAAACACCACCCCAGGAGAGTATAATTTTTAAACGAGTGGTCTCAAAACTAATAAAATTCCAGGGCAGACTGACATCCATCACCCTCCAACCCTGATAATCATCATCTCCTGTATGCCCCATCATAAGTGCTGGATCAGCTCACTTTATTTTTATCTAAAATATTTCTAATCTGCTTTTCAACATCGCTTTCAAGATTGCTTGTCATATCATTCGAACAAGCTACATCTGCAGCCAGGGCATCAGGGGGGAATGAAGGCAACTGAGGTCGAACCGGTCAGGATCAGGCACAAATGTTGGAAGAGAGGACAGACAGAGAAGGGAGACATGGGCGGGAAGCCAAGCTGTCCAAGGAAGATCGGCGAGGAGCTGGTCTCCCAGCAAAGATCAAGCAGAAACTGTGGGGTTTTATGCTGCTCTGGGTAAAACACGACTCTTCCTGCTCATGAGTTGGGTTCAAGTGGCACCGGCTGCCTCTTCCTCTCAAGTAGACCCACCTGCATAGCCTTCTGATCTGCAGTTTCCTGGCAGCCAGGCCAACACCCATCCACTTCCACCTTCTAAGTTCCTGGGAGCGTGTTTGGGTTAGGTGAGGGACATCTGGGAGAATCCTGTCAATTCTTCCTTGAGTAAGATTCCCCTCGGCATCGGGGTCAGAGCAGTTCTTGAACCCCCCCCTTTTAGTCATTGAAGCCCCCCTTCTACTGATTTTCACAAAATCAGTTTCCTGAAAAAGGAGGACATGCGTATAATAGCATAATCAGCCCCAAGAGAAGGAAACATTTCCTAACTGAATGCATGTTTTTATTCAACACTGAAAAGGCACCAAACATTTTATTTATTTATTTATTTATTTTAAAAGGCACCAAACATTTTCTGAGTACTTTATGGATCACGCGTGATTAAAAAATATCAACACTCACAGGTTCACAATCTTGTTTATGGATCCCGCATGATTAAAAAATATCAACACTCACAGGTTCACAATCTTGCATACATAGCACAAAAACCAAAAACCAACGGAGAGATCAGAGGAAAGTCAACCCTGAAGAAGCAGCTACATCTTTTTCGATTAGTTGAAGGGTTGGTCGCCTCCTTCATGAAAAAAAGTTATTCTTGGAAGGAAAGACACGGAGACCACCAGAGGTCCTTGATCTACTGGCTGATGGATGGGCAACGTAAGGGGTTTCCCTTCCTCCTGCATCAGCAATGGGAGCTAACAGTTCTGTTAGAGAGAGAAAAAGCTGGTAGATGGATCCTGATTAGTTTCTGTCCTCCCATGATGCCGGAATTTAGGGAATTTAGACAAGTTTGTTACTGACCAGCACACCTCTTGAGTGTCAGGCGTCTGAGCAGATCACTTCTGAGATGAACAATGGGAAGCGGTGTGATGTGATACTTACCGTATTTTTCAGTGTATAAGACTATACTTTTGTCTAAAATCTTTAGACTAAAAATTCAGGGTCCCTCTTGACTGAAAAACAAGCCAAGAGCCATGGACGCCTTCTTTAACTGCCCCTGAAGGTTGGAATCTCTTCTGCTATGATTCCAACAAAGTGTGACGCAGTTGGATGTGAAAAACGGGATATCCCGTTGTGTTCCTGAAAATCCTTTAGGAACACCCATTGGAATGTCTGATTCCTTGTCTTCTAGAATCACAGCTGAATAATTCTATAGTTGAAAGATATCTCAAAGTTCCCTAGTCCAATCTCCTGTTGGTGTAGGATTTTTGATCCTGCACCCCTGTTTTGGCCAAGGAACCCTCTCCCCCCTGATCTACTCATGCACCGGAGCGGAGCCACCTAAGCTGAAAGAGGTCCCACATCATGATTGACCGCTCTCAGCCCTTTTCATTCATATGCTTGTATTGCATCAATGTGGTGTTGTCTTGCCCAGGTACAATGTTAGGCTTCAGATTTGATCTGATATAACTATTGCAAAGCAGGACACTGATGCAATCGAAAGCTCTGCAAAAGATAATAGATCTCAATCTGCTTTTCATGCATATTGCCCTAGGGTTTGGAAGGAGCACACATTTGTTTGAATACGATAGATGATATATTGAGAGCATGTCTGGCTCACCCATCGACCGCTTGAGACAGCTCGCAAAAGCGGGAAATACTAGAAGATTGTTCCAAGTTTCGTTTTCTCATTTTTTTTCACTGACTTAGCCCTGTGCGCATGACTTAATACTTCTGTTTTTGCTGCTAGCCAAGAAGCAGGAACCCACCCTTAAGATTCCAGACAAGAATGAAACATTTCCCACGCCCAGCATTGCTGGAGAAGTCACCACACTCAAGGACGATGGGATTCGTGAATGCACCATTCCCATCCCAAGGTAATGTCCTTGTGCCTTTCAAGTACGTCACCACCGAAAGTCATTTGGTCCCTATTTCATGGCTGGATTGCTCTTTGTGTTTAGGAGAATCAAGTGGCATTGAGTTCCTAGGACTGCATTAATTCAGCATTCGGGTAATGGCTTGTTTCCCTGCCTCCCCAGGCAGCCGACTACTCCAGCAGGGAGGTGGGATGACAAGTCTTCCCACTCAGCTGTTCAACGAATAGCTGCATGGGGAGGTGGGCAGTGGCGGCCAGATCACTCCTGCGATTGGCACAATGGAAATGATGCTGGCCATGTGTGCCACACAGAGAGCAATAACTGGACCTGCCAGTTCAAGAGGGAGGGTCCTGTTTTCCCAGGCACCCATAGTGCTGATATTCTTATTCCTATCCCCAGGGATACAAATACTAATATCTCACATCTAATCAAAATAACTTCCCCATGAAAAGCCAGCTTCTCTGGGAAGAATGTTCTGCCTGATTGTATTTCTGGTGTGCTGGTTTGTGTTCGTATGGGGTTGGGAGCGCTACAGGAAACTTTTATTCATTCCATCTCTGACCTCACTTCTGGTGTGATGCAGTTTTAAGTACGTAATTCCATGTTATTCTTCTGAATGCTTAGATTCAATACTGCAGTTTATATCATTCACAGACTTATAAGACAAAGCAGAAAAGAGGCGACTTTTGACTTAACTGAAGCTAGTGACTTTATTTTCTGTACTTCTAGTGGATACATTTGCTCACTTGCTGGTTTCGCTAGGGTTTCTCTTGGTTTCTTTCAGTAAAATCTTTCCATAGCAGCCAAATAGAACTGACCGTGGTATTCACAATCCAATCAGAACACCCTGTCCGATGCAGGGTTCTGATGCTACTCTATTTACTACTCCATGGGTGGGGTTTTCCTGCATCGTGTCCGATTCAGGAGAAAAGAAGAAACAGCAGCCAGGAGAACGGCAATAAAAATGGACGACTGTTCGTAATGTCCAAGCCTTTTTTTGGTGGAGAGATATTTGAACCCTGCCCTAACCCCTGGTCCCAACTCAAAAACCTTGCCATGCATGTAGCACAATTACGTTTGTAGATGAAATATTTCAAAGACAGAATTTCCAACCCCATACTTCCTACTTCAAACGGGCCACTGCCCCGTCTATCATTTCGGTGGGACCGTTTTAAGCAGATGAGAAGGTGATACATGGGGTCCTTCCATTCAGAGTTGCCAACAAGATTGCTTCACAGCGTTGTGGGCTCCTTTGGGTTTGATGATCGCGTCTCATAAATTTTGGGTGCATTGTGATTTTATTTCTTGATTTGATGCTTAAGAAGCCCTGAGACCATGGATGGTGCAGAGTTGCTCAAGGGGGAAGATGTGATGCTTGATGTGCACAGACCGCCTTGTATTGAGGCCACGGAGAAGACATCTGTCTACCCAATGGTGGAGAAAACTGCGACAAGTAAGCCAGCTTTGCTGCACAGCCTTAGCCAAGCTTGGAGGAAAGAGTTTTGCCCCCGTCCCAAATTAGAAAGGTTCCTAATATTAGACGGAATACACACAGCCCCGAAGATATAACATTTGACCCATTATTAGGACAGGTTTCCTTCTAACACAATTCACAGACTTTTCCCCTTGGGTACAAAGGGTCATTTCCTATAAACATCAATGGCGTCTTTTCACATCGCTGGTGTCCATTGAACAACCAGTAATATATTCGTATTCCATGTTCCCATGGAATTTTCCAGGGTGTTTGTAGTTTACAAAGGGGCATACAAAATTGCGTAAAATAGCATGCCAGCCCAGGGACTATGTATAAGAAGACACGGTGGTGGGAGGGGTATCCCAAGGCAAAAATCACCTCTCAAGAGGGCCTGAGTTCAAAATGGATCAGAGATACAGTACTACGGTAAACCTAGAGAGTCCGGAACGTTTTTACCACCACAACCGGAAGTTCAGCTGAAACCTCCTAAAAAGAAAAGTGGAAAAAAGATGGAGCAGGAGAAATTGTAAGGGTATGCATTCAGGCGTGCAAAGGAGATTTAGTCATTCCTTAGCCTGAGGCACACACATTATCTGAAATGGAAAGCTTCACCAGAGACGTGGCCAGCCTCTGAGCACAACTGAGTTTTATATCTTATGCTTTTTCTTTTTGATAACATGTTTTTTCTCAAAGAACCAAGTGCTTTCCAGATCTACCTAATATATATATATTTGGTGACACCTTAGGCCCGCCGTACATGCAAGTGACCATTGAGGATGTGCAGGCTCGGTGCGGGGAGATGGCAAAGTTCCACGCTGTTATCGAAGGACGACCTCAGCCCACCGTTGAATGGTTTAAGGTGGGTCTGGCGCACGCCACAAATAAAGTGCAGCCGAAGCAAAGGGAGAGCAACCAGAGATACGGAATGGTGAAACATACCATTCGGGCAGCGCATGGTTTAGAGACGTATCTATCATGTAACACTGCTCTAAGGCTAGCAATTTGTGCATGGATTTCATTTGCCCACCTTGAAATTTCTTTCACCTTGGATAGTTTGTGTGAGTACCTTGAGCTCCCCCTATGCATTGGCCACGATTCTTCATTCTGTCATTCCATTGCCTATCAGTGGTGGTAAATCTGGAACAGCAAGTGCTCAGCATGACAATCCTCATAGCTGTCATCCCACTAAAGGAGAGTCCAAACATGCAGGCCGCTGAATCAGTGCTTATAAACAATTATGGAGCAGGCCATTTGTAAAATGAACGAATCTTCGCCACCGAATCAGGTATTTTGCATTATGAATGAGATGACCCACAAGGATCAGTTTTTCTGTTTCTTTCTGAGCTCCTCTAAGATTCGCAACCAAGCCCAGAAGGAACAGGGGTGGCGGTGAAGAAGGGGGTTGGCGTGGCAGATGATGTCCTACTCTCTAAGTCCCTAGCTTCGGCCCTCTGAGCCCTGGCTCCACTAGAACATTGTAGATGACAGAGCAATACAACAGCTGTTGATCTGCCAGACCGACAGAATGTTGGCATAAGAACAAACTTACTTGATGACACTCCCCCATTCCCACCCCCAAACTGATCTTTTCAGGGCATCTCCTTGTTGACGGACAGCAACCGAGTCTACCAGTTCAACGAAGGTACCAGATACTCCTTGATCCTTTACAATACGAGACCTGAAGATGGCGGTGTCTACACTTGCATTGCCAAAAATGCAGCCGGCGAGGTGTTGTGCAAAGCTGAACTTGTGGTGCAAGAAGGTGAGTGCAAAGTTGTGATTCTGCCCTTCCACATTTTTTTTGCATTTATTGATGTGTGTGTGTGTGTGTGTGTGTCTCTGCCCTTCCACATTTTTTTGCATTTATTGATGTGTGTGTGTCTCTCTGTGTCTCTGTGTGTGTGTGTGTGTGTTTTTACTGCAAATATGTTGAGTGGGGCATTGGATTCAATGGCCTTAGAGGTCCCTTCCAACTCATTGATTCTATCATTCTATGATTCTGTGTTTCTTATTACTTCTTCTTTGTAGGCGTTGGTAGCCGACCATCTCTAAGGCTCTCTCATCAAGAGCTAGCTTAATCCTGTGGGTCAGGAATGTTCTGTGACCCTGCGCCCCCCCAACTCCTTTGCTTCCAACTGCCCTCCCCAAAAGGTGTTTCCCCCCACCCAAAGGGGAGTTGCTGCAACCGTGTCCAGAGGATGGCAGCCCTCCCTTGATGCCCTCTTGTGGACCCTCTGAAATGTGGAGATAATAACCTCTGGCTTTTCATGGCTTATTGTCAAATTTACGAAGCTGGCGAAAGTCTTTCTGTGAATCATTGCATGAAACACTAAGATCCAGGATGCGCAATGAATATTTTACACAAGCCATAAGCCAACAGCTAAAGATTTGATGGGTTAGCAACATGCACAATCCAGAACCCAGCCTCCAGAAAAACCATCCAATTTAACCCTTTGGGGCCACGCGAGAGTTCCTTTAAAGCTCTTCTTCCCTCTTTCCCGCCCTTCACTGCTTGGCAGCTAAATTCCCCAGCCCAAGCATACTTCGGCCCTTGTCTGGACATTCCCCACATCTCCGCCTTCCGACTGGTACTTCTCCAGTCCGTAGTCCACTGTGAAAGGTGTGCTTACCCCTATGAAAAATTCCAACTCTATGATGTGTATCTCCTTGAGTTAGAATGTTTGTGAACATTCCGTGTCCACCAGTAGTTTGGATGCAGGCAGGAAACAGGAAGTTGTCACGTATTCACAGTCACAAAAGAGGGAGCTTATACCTTGCACGTATAAATTCTCAGGATCAGTCTGTGGCTTCTCAAAGGAGCGCATGTATCAAGGCTCAGAATAACATGCAATTTCCCTGAAACTTATAAAACAGCTGCCGGTTATGTAGACTGCACTGAGATGTGTGAACTAAAGATCTAGCTGGGTATAAGTGAATGCTTTATATTAGTACACTCAGCAAGCACAATTGCAGTGAATGTACTGTCTGAGGCAAGGACTGTGTTTTCCTAGATTTTTTTTTTAATGCAGTGCTTTGAATACCCAGAACACACAATATGGACCCTAATAGAAATACTACTTTGGTTGGACCTTTCTTGGGGACGTGGTGGCGCTGTGGGCTAAACCACAGAAGCCTGTGCTGCAGGGTCAGAAGACCAAGCAGTCGTAAGATCGAATCCACGCGACGGAGTGAGCGCCCGTCGCTTGTCCCAGCTCCCGCCAACCTAGCGGTTCGAAAGCATGCAAATGCAAGTAGATCAATAGGGACCACCTCGGTGGGAAGGTAACAGTGTTCCATGTCTAAGTTGCACTGGCCATGTGACCACGGAGGATTGTCTTTGGACAAACGCTGGCTCTATGGCTTGGAAACGGGGATGAGCATCGCCCCCTAGAGTCGAACATGACTGGACCAAAAAATTGTCAAGGGGAACCTTTACCTTTACCTTTTGGACCTTTCTATTGCAGACATGCAACAGTAGCAATGCATAGATGTATTTTCATGCAATAATTATAAACAGGTAAAAAGCTTCAGAATTGACTTGATGTTCTTGTTTGAATTCTTTTTAGATAAGAAGAGCCAGGAGGCAAAGAAACAGAGCACGAGGAGAAAGCTCCATTCCTTCTACGAGGTGAAGCAGGAAATCGGCAGGTAAGAGTCTTCTGTCTGGCTCTGTGCCTATCTTGGAAGCCTGGGAAAGAAGGATGATGGCATTCACATTCCTGCTGGTGTTGAAGATTTCAATGGAAACGTTCTCCAACTCTCGATTCTACTCTGCCCAGGGGTTCCTTCGGCTTTGTCAAGAGAGTCGTCCACAAAGGCAGCCGAGTCTCCTGTGCTGCCAAATTTCTTCCCCTGCGAAGCAAAACCAGGGATCCGGCTTACCGGGAGAGGGAAATTCTGGCTAAGCTGTCGCACGACAGGATCACTCGGCTGCTGGATCAGTTTGAGACGCGGAAGACGCTCATCCTGATTTTGGAGTTGTATCCTTTTCGTGGCAGTCTCTCTTCTCGGGACCCGGGATGCCCTGTCGGTTACGGGGTTTGTGTTTTGGGGTGCCGGGGGGTGGGGCGGCCGGCAGAGGATGAAAAGAGGGAGGAAGCGATGTCCCAAATGTCAAGCTGAAAAACCACCACAATGGCATAGAATACCTAAGCAGGGGCCATTGGGAGCCCTTTTCCACTGCTCTGGTTCCTCTAAATGACATTCAAGTGTGCTTTTGCAAGGAACGAGGTAAATGTGGCTCACGGCCCTCCTGCTGAAGCAGCCAGGTGTAAGATACCACCATGATTTCCGCTGCTGTTTTACGCCTAGGAGCAAGAAAGAATGGCTACACCGTCTGCAACAGAAGTCTTGAAAGACACGGGGCCATTTTGCTTTTCAACAGGCTTCTTCTTCGTTGGCACAAATCAGGGTTGACCACATCAGTGGGTCCAATTTTCCTGCCCTTGGTGAAAAAAAAAACCCCGGGGGGCAGAGACTCTTCCTCCCATCATCCTTCCTTGGGAGTCATATCCAGGCCTTGAGCTCTCCTATGCTCACCTCTCCTCCAGGTCTAAAGCATGATTTGTGTGTGTGACAGTGGTTCAAGACTTGGAATGCTGTGACATTCTTAAGGAGCTGTGTGAACGCTGGTTAAGGGGGGAAATGGGTAAGAAAAATGGGTAAGAACAGTAAGGATTAGTCATAAACCTTTCCGGAGGGTTGGCATCAATCCATCAGCGAGTGGTGGCATTGCATGCCTTCTGCGCGGCGTGGTCCTAGGCAAGACCCAGCCTCTCCAACCCATGCAGACATTCTGGACAGTCACACGGGGTGGCCAAAGTTATCAGTATGCAGTTCAAGCAGGACACCCTAGAATGCTGGGGTGCTCTCAGAAAGGGGCTTCGAGATTCAAGTGCTACTGTCCCAAAGGGGCACGTTGTTCTTCTCGGCACCTCCAGGTCCCTCCAGGGTATCACAATGTCATGGGTTGGCTGTGCTCTCACCCTCTAGTCACCTTCTAAAAAGCAGGATGAATTGACTTAGGGGTAGAGATGGGCACAGACTGCCAGTTTGGCAGTTCGTGCTGGTTTGTTTCTCTGCCAAACAGTGTTCAGTGGTTCCACAGTCCTGCCTCCTCCAGCAGGAGCCCACTCAGGGGCAGCACTCAGAGGAGGCAGGGCAGGGAAGCTGGGGCACTTTTTTGGTTTTCCTTTTAACACCACCGTTGCGTGCTAGTGTATTTTTGTAGGATCTGAAAAATCCTACAATAGGATAGGATCTGCTCACGTGGACCCTGGGACTATATTGTTCAGTGTCAATCCATGCACACTCTGTGCATGCATGCATGCATGTATGCATGCATGTGTGTTTGTGTGTGTGTGTGTGTGTGTAGACTGCTCAATCCCTATCCCTCCACACCCCATAGCTAGGAAGGAAGGGAAGAGAAAACGAAGTGGACAAGGGGAGGGTAAAGAAGCTCAATCCCTATCCCTTCATGCCCCATAGCTAGGAAGGAAGGGAAGAGAGAACGAAGTGGACAAGGGGAGGGTAAAGAAGATCAGGGATAAAAGAGGGCAAAATATGTTGGGAATCAGGCGTTAGGGAATGATTCTGGATGTGTGTGGGCAAGTGGAACCAGGACGTCCAGCAACATATTCCGTTTCTGAGGTTTGATGCCAGTCCTTGGCATCAGACCTTCAACCAAAGTTACCAGAATCAGCCAAGGCAACCAGAGAACATCTGGAAACACCACGGCGGCGAGGAGGACCCCTTCACGCCGTGGTTCCCGAACTTGGGTTCCCCAGATATTCTTCAACCACAACTCCCAGAAATCCTGGCCATCGCAGCTCGTGGTGAAGGCTTCTGGGAGTTGTAGTCCAAAGACATCTAGGGACCCAATTTGGGAACCCTTGCCCTAGACAATTCTTCTGAGGTGGGAATCACCGAAGAACGGTTCAAACCACATCTGTTTTCCTCAATGGATCAGATGCTCCAACGAAGAGCTGCTGGAGCGGTTGTTCAAGAAAAATGTGGTGACTGAAGCACAGGTAATATTTCTGTCTCAGGTGTCTTTAGGAAAATCTATAGGCATTTGAGTCGAAGGCTTCAGACTCCGTTCCAGTATAATTATGAAATCAGAAATAATCTCTGAGGTGTGGCATTTCAGTAACAGATCGCCACCGATAACAGTGTTGCTGTTGTTTTTATCCACATTCAGGTCAAGATATCTATACAACAGCTCTTAGAAGGGATTGCCTACCTCCATGACAATCAAGTCCTTCACCTGGACATCAAGGTAACATCTCCTTGGCCACAGATCCGTGACTGTTGCTTCTGAGGTTTTCCAGAGATATAAATCCTGTTGGCCTGAGTGGAATTTCCTGCCTTGAGTGCCAAATAAACTCCCATGAAAGATAAAACGTATCTCCCAGCAGAAGTGAAGATACAGATATTATTATTAATATTTTTCCTTGGTTTCTCTTTTCTCTCTTTTAATGGTATTTTTTTTTTAAAAATTGCCATAGTGTTATTATGTATAGCCATGTGGAGTCTTCAAAATTTGTAAGTTTTAACTTGTGTAGGTAGGTAGGTAGGTAGGAAGGTAGGAAGGAAGGAAGGAAAGGAGGAAGGAAGGAAGGATTTGATGCCGTTGTACTCTGAACGTATTTAAAACAGGTTTTACAAATCTCTGTTGCAAATTGTTTGACTTGCTAAGGACTTTCCAGAAGTGCTCATTGCTGAGGAAATATCCCTACCATTATTTTTGGATAGGATGTTTGTATATCTGCTTCAGGCTGTGTGCAGTCATTGTTCTGGCCATTTTATATTGCAGAGTAGTGCAAATAGGCCTAATATTAATGTTCTTTATGATCCTCAACAGTTATTTTGCTTGCACTCTACTATTCATTCTGTTTCTGTGATGCTAGGGTAGCTGCCTGGCCTAATGCTGTAATTCAGTGGCCAAATGTCAGTTCTGAAATACCACATGCATATGGGGAATAGTGCAAGTGGTTTTCACAATTTTCTAGTTTTCTGAGTGTGTCCAAGCGCACAAGAGTCAGCCAGAACAATTGTGAACACAAGTGAAGCAATTTCTGGTTTACACTACTATTCCAATAGGATTATGGTCAGTTGTGTGTGTAGTGGGACAATTAAGATTATCACTTGTCTTGAACAACTCTATAAAATGCTCCAAAGCAGCAACCTCCCCCGAACTACGTATATGGATTCCAAGAAAAGGGTATCACAGCTTTATATTTCCTTCATTTCCTTCATGAACAAAGCAATGATGCTGGTTTTCAATATGTAAAAAGAAAAAAATCTATGACGAGCATCCTGAAAAATCCTACTAGGGCTTATTTTCAGGTTAGGTCTTATTTTCGGGAAAACAGGGTAGACAGACAGACAGACAGACAGACAGACAGACAGACAGACAGACAGACAGACAGTCTCTAGATGATGCCCTTGGGTCCCTCAGCCATATTCCTGGAAAGTATATGAGAGGAGGAAGACATGAGGAGATGCAAGGGAAAGGCAAGGTTCCAGTACAGAACTATGATCCCACTCTTATTTCTCAACATGAGTGTGAAAGATTCATATGATATTGCAAAGAACCGGTGCGTGAGTGTTCAATCCTGCCCCTCCGAGGCGCGAGAGTTTCCCACCACCTCACTTTCTGACACAGATCCAAAGTCTCATGGCCACAGGTTCTGGCATAGCATCATGGCTTGAGACGGGTGTGTGGATCATAGCAGCCTGTGGATCCCTCCCCTCCAATATTTCAGGAGGTCTGGAGCCTGGCAGTGCCACTGGTGTGCCATTGTGCAAGTTACTTGAGAGAAGAGACGAACCTGTTTCAGCAGAAGATCTTACCCAGCAAAGGCTACGCGACCCCCCCCCCCACAGACACCCTTTTCTTTCTGTTTCCACAGCCCTCCAACATTTTGATGGTTTACGATGACCGGGATGACATTAAGATCTGCGACTTTGGCTTCGCTCAGAAGATAAACCCCGCTGAGCCTCAGTACAGTAAATATGGAAGTCCGGAGTTCGTCTCGCCCGAAATTCTCTCCCAGTCACCAGTCTCAACAGCTTCGGATATCTGGTAAAACACATCTTCCTGGCCTTTGTTTTCATAATATAGAATGTACAGTATTTCAATCTCCAAGTCAACTGAAGATCAGGCGGGAAGTGTTTGAAGGGCTTCCCGTGTGTTACCGAGTTTTATCTTTTATAGTCATGTCTGAATCTGGATCTGGAGCACATGTGATCTTTACCAAAGCACTGTGTGAATCATTGGAAGTCCTCCTTCCCTCAGTCTACGCTTCATGGCTCCATGGATTTTGCCCCCCAAGCCATCTCCAGTACCAGGCGTAGATCATAGATTGTAGATTGTAAAACTCCAGATCTGGGAGGGACCCTCTGGAACATCGAGTCCGGCCCTGATCAAGGAGACCGAATGGGGGAATCGAACTCCCAACCAACCAGAAACCTAAACCACTGGACTTTCCCTGAGGCAGGACAGGTCACTGAGCTAATAGTAGGAAGGAAACAAGGTGGAAGAAGAGAGAGGGGGAAACCTGATGCGTCCTCATCTGCAGCCCACTTTCTTTCTGCTTTGTGCACCAACCGCAGCAGATGGAGACTCAGTAAATCATTCAAGATCCGGTTTGCTATTTTGTGTGCCCGGATTTCACTTGCTTAACTATGCTCCGATAAGGATCGGATACGGAGCGCGCATGCCTGTGGGCCCGTAGAGGCCCATGGGTATGGGCGGCTGTTGAATAATCAGCAAGTTACAAATGAATGGGAAAACCATAGCTTTGATCCCTCCATAAATATAGCGAACTCACCAATGCCTGTTTCATGGATGTTAAAATATTTTTCTGATATATATGTGTCTTTTCCTTTCTTTTACAGGCCTGTCGGAGTTATTAGCTACTTAAGGTAAGCAAATTTGACCTGAACTGCCTTTTCACGTTGTGACGTTAGGGTTTCAATCACTGGGGGGGGGGGGAACCCCAGTGGCTACTTAAATCCATTCTCTTGAATTCCTTTAACAACTTCTCGGGATTTGATTTAATATATTTAACCAAACAATTTGTTAATTTTTTTTAATCATTATATATTGTACTCTTTCTTAAATTATGTATAATTAATTTTCATTTTTTAAAAAAATTGTTACTGCTTGATAAACTCTTTGTGCGCTACTTCTGGTTTTTAATATTTTGACTTATACTGTATTTGTAATTTCTTACTTGTTATTAAAACAGAGGTTTGCTTTGTTGGCTATTTCCCTAATCAATTCAGTGATGGCAAGCTCAGTTGTGATCGATCGCCTTAGTTGATCAATTATTCCCTCACCTGGCTTGCGCAGACTGGGAAGCTCTTGCGTCCTTTCAGTTGCTTGGTTTTCGGATTCAATGGCCAGTGTGTGACAGATTGTGTCCTTTTGAAACAATTAGCCTGACATGCAAGTCTCCGTTTGCTGGGGAAAATGACAGAGCAACACTCCTGAATATCCAGAACGGACGGATTTCCTGGGATATTCCTGATTTTGTTCATTTGAGCAAAGAGGCAAAAGATTTTATCAGAAAGCTACTGCAACCCTCCCCACAGTGAGTACACTTCTTGTCATTTCCCAGTAATACAATCTGAAGAACAGGGCACAGAAAGATTGAAATCTCCCGTTTCTCTCACACTTACAATTGTATGTTCTGGTCTTCATCTGTTATGATGGGGACTCCATCACCCTGCGACCTAAGGGTTGCTAAACTGGGCGGCATCCAGACTGGGGGCTCCTAGCTGTACCAGCATTCTTCCCTGCTCGGTTTTGTTTTAATCTCGAGGGATATTTTTGTGCAAAAAATAATGATGAAAATAGCAGTGGGAAAACAGATGGGTTGCACATTGAAGGCAACCATTACAGTGGTGCCCTGCTTGACAACTACCCCGTTAGACATGAAATCACTTTTTTTGCTTGACAACAATTTCGCTGTACAGTGATTTTCCTGGAACGCATTATCATCGTCAAGCGGGGCACCACTGTATTTAGATCAGTCGTTCCCAACCTTGGGTCACACAATGTTCTTAGATTACAACTCCCTGAAATATTGTGTAGCACATCTGGTGGGGAAGGCTTCTTGGAGTTTTAGTCCAAGAACATCTGGGGACCCAAGGTCAGGAACCACTGCTCTGGACAAATGGTACCCAGATGTTGTCGGAACATACCGTATTTTTCCGTGTATAAGATGGTACTTTTACCTAAAATCTTTAGACAAAAAATTGAGGGTCATCTTATACACGGAAGAAAGGGGGGAAAGCGATCAAAGTGCTGCAAAGATCCCTTTCCACTTCCTAAGCCCTGTGAGGCTTATGAAGTGCAGGGGAAACACAGACATAAAAGGGCTGCAGGATCAAAGGGCTGCAGGACCAAAGGGCTGCAATCCTGCAGCCCTTTCATCACTGCTTTCCCCCTCCACTTCCGCAGCCCTTTGATCCTGCTTTCATGGGGCTTAGGAAGTGAAGGGGAAAGCAGTGATGAAAGGGCTGCAGGATTGGGGTTGGAAAAGTGGGAGTCATCTTATACATTGGGTCATTTTATACATGGAAAAATACGGTATCTCTCTAAATCCAAACCATGGTCCATATTGGCTGGGCCCTCATTCCGCTGATCTTGACTCCTCCTAAAATTAAGACAAGGCAACTGTACAATAAAAAAAAGCTTTTTTGGATCCATTGTGCAAAATATTTATGCCTCAACATCTAGGTTGCACATGGTACTGCCATAATAGCACTGGGATTTTCCAAGCGTGGTGAGCATTAGGAGCCAAACATTGCACATAGTAAGGAAGATCAAAGTGGATGATGTGAAGAAGTGTGGGTGAAATTATTATAAATAATAATTTATATTGATGAATACAGCCACATATAATATTTATGCCTCAACATCTGGGTTGCACATGGTGCTGCCATAATAGCACTGGGATTTTCCAAACGTGGTGAGCATTAGGAGACAAACATTGCACATAGTAAGGAAGATCAAAGTGGATGATGGGAAGAAGTGTGGGTGAAATTATTATAAATATGTGGGGGAGGTGAGGAATACAGCCACACACTACACAATTTTAGTTTTGTGGAACCCTCAGAAACTCATCTGTACAAGCTAAGAATTTGTTCTACAAACTCACCTTAAGCTATTCATGATATTTAAAATTGTTGTTGTCAAATGTAGTTTGATCATGAAGTACACAATGAATATATAAATATATATACTTTTCTGTTGCCAGGGCAAGACCTAGTGCTATGGAGTGCCTCTCCCACACCTGGTTTGTGGTACGTTTTGATTGTTTTTTGGGACAAGAAGAGAGAGAGAGAGAGAGAGTCCCTTTTTATTTCTTTCTCAATCTCCTCCAGCACCATATTTCAAACAAATCATTTCCGCCCCCCCATCCCCTTCTAGTTGCACCGCCCCCCACTCTCATTCCCTTCTAGTTGCACTCGGAGGCACGTGGGAATGAAAACCACAGAGAGGGGTTGGGTGGGTTAGGCAACACCTTCATAGAAAATTAGGATAGTCTTAAGCCTGAGGCCAAGAGTTTTGAGTTGGGGGAATGTCTTCCGATTGTTTTCCTATTTGTGTCTTCCCAAGAAGACATGAATAGAGGCTTCGCCGTCTGGCATTCAGAGAAGCCCTTGATAAAATGCATTTAAGGATAAGTCTGAGAGGAACAAGATATGTGGGGAGGGGGGAGGTTGGAGGTCGCCCCCATCAAAAGACCTCATTAGCTGGGTATGTGCATTTTTTCATGTCTCTAGCATTGATAGCACATGAATATTGGTTGGTTGGTTGGTTGGTTGGTTGGTTGGTTGGTTGGTTGGTTGGTTGGTTGGTTGGTTGGTTGGTTGGTTGGTTGGTTGGTTGGTTGGTTGGTTGGTTGGTTGGTTGGTTGGTTGGTTGGTTGGTTGGTTGGTTGGTTGGTTGGTTGGTTGGTTGGTTGGTTGGTTGGTTGGTTGGTTGGTTGGTTGGTTGGTTGGTTGGTTGGTTGGTTGGTTGGTTGGTTGGTTGGTTGGTTGGTTGGTTGGTTGGTTGGTTGGTTGGTTGGTTGGTTGGTTGGTTGGTTGGTTGGTTGGTTGGTTGGTTGGTTGGTTGGTTGGTTGGTTGGTTGGTTGGTTGGTTGGTTGGTTGGTTGGTTGGTTGGTTGGTTGGTTGGTTGGTTGGTTGGTTGGTTGGTTGGTTGGTTGGTTGGTTGGTTGGTTGGTTGGTTGGTTGGTTGGTTGGTTGGTTGGTTGGTTGGTTGGTTGGTTGGTTGGTTGGTTGGTTGGTTGGTTGGTTGGTTGGTTGGTTGGTTGGTTGGTTGGTTGGTTGGTTGGTTGGTTGGTTGGTTGGTTGGTTGGTTGGTTGGTTGGTTGGTTGGTTGGTTGGTTGGTTGGTTGGTTGGTTGGTTGGTTGGTTGGTTGGTTGGTTGGTTGGTTGGTTGGTTGGTTGGTTGGTTGGTTTGATTTGATTTGATTT